ATCTAACAAAAGTATTTCTTACACTGTATCCGTAAATATTCCCTGTGAGCACTATAAACGCACAGCCACCTGTCTGCCGCACATCTCGCGTTGTCTATTTCAAGATGTCCTTTAGTGAATAACAGCTTGCAAATGATACAGCTGTTCAGAACAAGTACAGTCGCCCACCACATTCCTCCACCCCCTTCCCTATATATGAGCATTTAATTGAAAACCGCCTCCCGTAAACCTCAGAGCGCAGCTAAATAAATCATCTATAAATTATGGATGGGTTTATTAGGTGATTATATTGGCTCAATGACTATAAATGAATCTAAACTGGATTTTGCCTAGGGTTGTGGTTTTATGATTGCCTGCTAATTTTGTATGTGGTTACTGAGGTGTTTTTGAGCGTTTCACTGTGCAGTTTCCAAGGTGTTCAGTGTGGTTGCTAGGACGATCTGGGTAATTGCTTGGTTGCAAGCACATTTGCAACAAAGCAAGGTATGAGTCTGCTGTGTGTGATATTTTCCTGTGATGTAAAGACATGTGCATCGGTGCTACTTTCCCCAACTGAGGTATGAAACAACTGCTGTGTAGTTGTCTTTTGTTGGACGAAACTCTCTTGTCTTCTACAAGAATACCCAATTCAGGTTCAGACAATTGCTGTAGTCTCATTTCTCAGCCATTTTTAAGCCTTTTTCAAGACAATATTTGCTGTCGTAGAGTAAAATATCTTTAGCTTGTGTTAACCACAGACCTATTTGATTACACCTGGTCACTTCCTGCCTTTTCTCTGATCAGATAAATGCCCTCTGAGATGCATTTGGGACGAAACTGGACAAGTGCAAATGCATCTGGTTGTTGAAACCACATATCCATATTAACCATATTAACCACCATGTCAAATGTACTCTTCCAAAAATGTAAAAAAATAAATATGTGAGCACGGCTTATAGGCTGTATGACATGTTATAGCCACATATTTCAGCGCTAAACTGAAAGTAAGTCTCAGACGCTTTAATCTTCATTAAAAGTAGTGAGACTGAATGATCTTACCAGTGCTAAAGCCGCTCTCTCTCCCATTGCCATCTTTGATTTTGAAATTAGCTGATGATAAATAAAATGCAGCTCATATCTGTTGTTTTCGTTGATGTTAATTTGCATATAGTGCTGGAACTGAATATCAGATTCATATTTGTTTTGCGCAAGATACACGTGGCCAAGTGTAAACGGGACCGTTTTAACAAGCCAGATACAGTAGCTATCCGATCAGTAAAAACACATGAAGTGACCAGGAGCAAACAGGCCCTAACTTAAAACCCATTTAAAAAGCCCATTGACTTTGGGACGATGGAACAGGAAGTGCTAAAACTGGTTTCCGGGTTTTGGCCGACAGGAACACGTCATCCCTCCAGCACTCTATTGCCACGTGCTTGCTAAGTGTAGTTGCTTACAACCACAAATAATAATAATAAAAAAAAGACCAGCAAGCAATTTTGCGTTTAAATGACGTCTAATAGCCGTCCAAACACAGCCCTGACGTCTAGGCTAAAACAAGGCAAAATTTGGGCTGCTAGTGAAAGTTTAATAGACGTCTAAACCATCGCCCAAGAATAGTCATCAATTAGATAAAGAAATGAAATGAGTGAAGAAATTAAACCAAACACCTTGTAATCACTGTTTACTTTGCTTACATGATGGAATATCGTACATCTCACAAGTTATCTTGGCAAAAACGGCATGTAACCAAATTCAATGTTAATGGTATTTTGGCTAGAATTGGGTTACCCATAGCCGGACTATATCGGGTCTATGGTTAACCTAGACGGGGAACTGACGGCTATTGCTTGCTGGGACCTTCAAGTCCCTTTGATAATTGGATTCTGGAAGCCAATGGGATTTTCCAACACATTCTCATCCCAAGGCATCACTAAATGACAATTTTGACCATGCTTCAATATTCGACGCTTTAGGCACCCTTTAGCGTCAGTTACATGACGCGATCCTAGGGCGTCATCTTACTGACGCTTTACCTTTAGCGTCAGTTAGATGACGCGGGTAGGTTTAGGTCGGGGGTAGGAAGCGTCAGTTACATGACTCTAAAGGTAAAGCGTCAGTAAGATGACGCCCTAGGATAGCGTCATGTAACTGACGTTAAAGGGTGCCTAAAGCATTGAATGTTGAAGCATGGTCAAAATGATTCCCAAGGCGTCAGTTTGATGACGCCTTGGGATGAGAAGGGGCTGGATTTTCACCTGCTTTATCATCTTCGTGTGTAAATCAGGTGTCTGATCTCTTAAAAACATAAAAGTGTTTTTAACATGTTGCTCGATTCGAGGTAGTCCGTGGCACAAAAGAAAGAGCCTTGCGTCGAAATGCTAAGAACATTCTTTGGCAGCGCCATTCATATTTACACACATTCATTAACCTCCTCGTAACAGCTCACATCAGAAAAATACAGAAAACTACCCACATCCCCTCAGCAATGCCAAACATAATGAATGAAACAGTCCCTCGAGACTGAGGCATACCCTGTCAAGCGTAGTGCGGTTCACCATTGGCTGCCAAGTAGCCTGCGCTCACTGAAGTGTGAGTGTGGGGGCAGTAACTGGTGAATGAGATTTGATAAGGGTAATCATTCATATTCAGCACATCGGCACCTCTATGAAAGTGTCGCTCAGTGTCTGACCAGCCAAATCGATGCAATGGCAAGCGAAAATCATGGCAAACGATCATTTTGTCTTGTGAATGAAAGACAAATGCAAGCATCTGCTGCCGTGCAATCGATGTGTATTCTGAGTTCTGGCGTAGAAATGAACTGCAGATTCAGCAAAACATCAAATTGAGTCTTTTATTGTGTGCCTGGATGAGGTGGAGTCATCCATTACATCATAGCTTTAGATGGTCGTGACCCATGACGATCATTTGATATATGACACGCTGTCAGTAGGTGAGTCACCGAGAACCTGAATGCTAAGCATTGGTAGATGCCTGTTTGGATGTCTGAACCATTTCACACCCCATGTCTTCTGGCTGACTGCCTCAATGTACACTGCTTGAGCTTGACAGTGATTGCCTTCGAGATGAATTCAGATGACAGGCTAAGACAAATTAGTGTGTTTCTGAGAAAACTGTACAGGGCACAGCACACAGAAAAGTGCCAAGCTAAAACCACATGTAGCTTAAACAAGCATCAAGCAATGTCTTTTTAGAATATATATATATATATATATATATATATATATATATATATATATATATATGCAATGCTTGTTTTAGCATTCATATCCAAATTGCAAAGGAAGAAGAGAACGTGAGGGGATAAACTGTAAGAGAAAATAGCATCACCCGAGCAGGCGATGTCACTTGAGGTCTCGCTGGCTTCAGTGGTTCAAACACTGGATCTACTGAAGCTTGAGATCGACCAATAGGAGCTCGCGGTGCCCGCAGGATTAGTGGAAAGCTCAGCCGCGAGGTCATTTCTCTCTTCACCATAAGCCACCGTTATGGACCGATAACTGCATACAGTAGAGCTTCTTAATCCTGGTCCTGGGGACCCACAGAACTGCATATTGTGTGTTTCTCCCTTATTTAATGCACCCATATCAAATTGTCAGCTCATTAGCGGAGAGATTCATGAACCAAACTTGGTGCATCAGATAAAAAAAGACTAAATGTGCAGGGCTGTGGTCACCGGGAACAGGATTAAGAGCCACTGCACAGTAATTCTCATAATCCACCGATTCATCCCATATATAAATATTATATATATATATATATATATAAGCAAAACCAGTGATATATATTTAGTGTTTGCATTTAAATCATTACCTGATTTTGCTTTTTTTTTTGCTATATCATGTATATTAATTTGCATCTATTACCTTGGAATGATGTGTGCTTTTGTTTTGCAGTGAAACAAACCGTCTCTGTGAAGCCATGCCCCAGATATTGCCAGTTTTATCATTTGCCAAGTGAAAATCAATTTAGAAAAGTAATAGCACTTATTACTACTTAATAAGCCACATGGTTCACTCATGTCCATAGTAAAAATGGTATGGGACGAGTCACTCTGCTCTCTGTATAATACTTGAGGTTAGGGACTTCGACAACTCGATCTCATGGGAAAATATGACTATTTTACGAGGTGGCGATTTTGTACGATGTCCACCCCAAACCGCACCCCTGGACGTAACCGTTAATAGGACAAATGCGTATAACTGAGATGGTACGAATTCATATGAATTAGCCACCAATTCGTCAAAATGTAAAATAGTTACGAAGCGCGATGATATAATTCTGCTCCAAACTAATGTAGACACAGAAGTTGACATGTTGTGCCGTTTAAACAGAGTGAAGGTCCTTGCACAATGAGTCCGAAAATCTCGTCCGAAATTGCATTGTTCAATTTGAATTGCAAGTTCAAAAATAAATACCTTGCATTGTGTCAATCACGTTTACACACTGCCTCCGAAACTTTGTACGTCATTAAAAAATCAGATCGGGTTTGATTTTCTGCGTTTTTCACATCCGTAGCAAGCATTTTGAGCCACCGAATGACAAAAAACGCATTCGAAAATTTCGTATGCGTTTTTTCGTATTCGTGATTCGGTGGCTCTGAATTGTCAAAACACCATTCAAACTGCTTGCTACGGATGCGAAAAACGCAGAAAATCGAACCCGATTCGATTTTTTTAATGGCGGACGAAAGTTTCGGAGGCAGTGTGCAAGCGTGATTGACATAACGCGAGGACGTATTTATTTTTTAACGTGCGAACATTTCAGACGCGAATTTCGGACTCGGTGTGTAAGGACCTTGACAGTGTTTATACTCTTCAGAAATTCATCCCATCAATGGCTTTCTTGTAGTTGCCTCTGCATATGAACCCACGAGAGGAGAATGCACAGTATTTGAAACATTAAAAACCAATCGTTAGACCCGTAGCAAAGGTCGCAGTTAATAATCATTTCGTTGAGACAACTGACGCCGATCATTGCATTGATCTTGCATTTCTTACCTTCCAATCATAGTGGAGTGCTGCTGCACGGCGGCCTCCAGGAGGCGCTCTAGAATGGTCCACTCTCCCATGGCTTTCTGCTGAAGACATCCAGGGATCACCGGACACTGTACTGGACCCCGCCGACCCTTCACGAAGACCTCCGAAGAAACCCCACGTCTCCGTTCCTTGTCTTTGAGGTAGTCACCAGCAACAGAGATGCTTCGGTTCTACAAATAGTTCTGATGATGGCTCGAGAAGACACATGGTTTCTCCTTATCTTCCTTCAACAGTCTCTGTTTACCGGTTTGCTTTCCCTTTTAGGGTTTGAAGTACTCAGACAGCAGTTGCATTAAGAGTGCAGAACTGTCCCTGGATGCCCTTTTGTCCTCAAGTGCTTCAACTATCTGGACTATCTTTTCCCGTTCCTCAAGCACAGCTGCACGGTCTAAACACGCACGCTCGCGGACAAGCTGCACCTAGCCCTTTTGTTCACCATTAAACACACACACCCTGACACACACACACAATCGTCCTCTTCTTGATCTCTCATAATCCACCGAGCACGTTTTCCTGCCAGTATTGGTCGCACGGACAATCAGACCCGCTTACACACACACACTCCACGCTCCGATTTAAGCACCGCCAGTTGCACATCACACACACATTTGAACAAATCACACTTTCTCTCTGCTTCCTCACTGTTGCTTCCTAATGTTTCTATCTAGCCTTGGCAAGCAGTCTGCATTCTCCTGTTTTCTCCTCCACCATCCCAGCTTCAGTGTCTTTCCTGCATTTTTCTTTTCCCCCCACTGTCAGTTTCCTCTTCCCCTGCTTCCCCGCTCACTCGCTCTGCCTCTCTCTACCCCTGCTGTCACTATGAGCCACTGTCTTGCCACGCTCTCGTTTTCTGCTTAGCTCTCCCTCCCTCTCTCCACTGACGTTCTCTGTGTCACTCATGATAAGTGTGCCGCCTCCCACCATCTCTCTCTCTCTCTCTCTCTCTCTCTCTCTCTCTCTCTCTCTCTCTCTCTCTCTCTCTGTCTCACACACACACACACACACACACAGTCCTTTGAACTGTTGCACGAGTCTCTGTTGGCAACTGATGGCACTCTTTATTTTAAACAGTTCTTCTTTTAATTAACCCTATTCATTCACCTTTCACTCTACAAGCCTCTCTCTCTCTCTCTCTCTCTCTCTCTCTCTCTCTCTCTCTCTCTCTCTCTCTCTCTCTCTCTCTCTCTCTCTCTTGTGGGCACCTGGCTTATGCGTGTGTCCAAAGGATTAGTGGGAGAATTCATCATGCTACCCCTCCTCTCCTTTCCTCTCATCCACACACCACATATCCAACCAAACCCCTCCTTTCATTTCCAATCGCAATCCCATTTTTGTATCTCTCGCAATGGCGGAAATAGAGCAAAATAACAAATTGGCAGAATTGAACAAATAAAATGTGCAAAAATGTTTAAACGGACACATGTTGAAGGCTGATGATCTAAAGACAGAAAGGAGATGGAAAAATGGGAAATAATGGAAAAAAAGAGAAAGAAAACAGCTTTACACAACAAATCAGCATTTAACAGTGGCAGCTTTAAGGGCCATTCATAGAGAACACGCTTTTCTAATTCCAATGCGCTACTTTGCCATTGTTTTTCTTTGTAAACACACCCTTGACGGATGTGTGTAACGTTGTGCTCACATCTTGGGTCTTTTATGATACGGCGTTCTAAAAACGAGGAGCTCAAGTTAAAATCAGTTCAACTTTTATAAAACGCGTCTCTAGACATTCTACACGTTCCCAATTCTACTGCTCGCGTCTCGGGTTTTTCAAAGCAGAAACGCGCTCTTGTGAACGAGCCCTTACACCACCACAATTACAAAACAGAGCACCTTTACACAACAGTTACACCACCTTTAAACAGATATGTTTTGCAGAACAGAGCAGATTTACAACATCTTTTCAACAGAACTGCTCAATAAACCTCTACACAGCAGGACAACTTTACAGCACCTTTATGTAGAAGAGAAAGTTTACACAACAGAGCAGCTTGATGCAACAGAGAAGTTTATCGAAACAGAGCAGATTTACAATACCTTTACACAGCAGAACTTTACACCACCTTTACGTGAGAGATTAGCTTTACACTACATTTACATGACAGAATGGTTACACCAGCTTTACACAACAGATCAGTTCTGTAATAATCTTGCTCTTCTACATAAAGGTGGTGTAAAGATGTTCTGCTGTGTAGAGGTTTGTAAAACTGTTCTATTTCATTCTTCATGACCGCCAGAGGCAGTGCTTCACACTGGATACTATCTCTCGTTGCAATGCATAGGTCGAGTCTAATACAAACAATGTCCCTCGTGACCGGGATGACTCGGGGTGCTCCCCTATTTAACCCTGTGACTTCCTGCAGACTGTCCCTGTAATCTTCTCGCGTGCACGTATGCAGGTCGTAGATTATGTAAAAAAAAGAAAAAAAAAAGAAACCCCGAATCCGTTCTTCACAGCTTCGCAACAGAAAACATTTGTTGGTGTCTCGCGACTGCGCGTCCTCCAGAGGCTGCAACGGATTCATTGATAACCAAATAAGCAACACGGCTGGTGAGTTTGTTTACATTGATGCTGGGGTTCGTTCTCGTTTTCCTGGCATTGTGTTGGTCGCTAGACAGAGTGTTTTCGCTAGTTGAAAGGGCCATAATAACTTGCAGCTGTAGGTAAGTTAGTAAGACCGCGCTTGGAGGGTGTGCACTCTGTATAGCGATTGGTATCTGAGCTACAATAGCTGCATAATCATCTATTCTGTTATTGAATGAGTCTAGCATTGTGGTGCCCCTTGTATATATATGTATAACAATATACACACCAGTGTTGTAGTCGAGTCACCAACTGTCGAGTCCGAGTCGAGTCTCGAGTCCCAGTGTTCGAGTCCGAGTCCAAGTCCGAGTCACCAAAGAAGAGTCCGAGTCGAGTCCAAGTCGAGTCACCATTACCTGAGTTCAAGTCCGAGTCGAGTCTCGAGTCCCGTGTTCGAGTCCGAGTCGAAATTATATACACTTAAGCCAAATCAAGCAACATTTTTCAGGCACTCTTTCTTGCAGCTAGAAATGTGTATGATAGCCTATCACTAGAATTGCCTTTGACCTTATCAAATCATTGTCAACTACCTGTGGCACGATTATATTTATTTAATTGTTTAAATACATTTTTGGATGATCAGTCAACTGGAATGGAATGGATAAAGAAAACAAAAAAGAAAGCCTAATTGGACAGAGGAGGAGAAATGCATTCTTCTTGACGAATATGGTGAAAGAAAAACAATTTTGAAATTTTGAAAAGCAAACTAAATCCCAATGTAACTGCGGCAAAAACCCCCAGAAAATGCAGTGCTATAAGCAGTTGTAACTCTGCAGGAAAAGAGTGGTTGCGATGTGTGACATAGTCAAGGTCGCCGTCTAGTTTGTTAGCTAAAATAAACATAATTGTGTTATTGTGTATGATTAGCGGGATTAAGCGCTGAGCACGTCCGAATTTGGCTCAGCGCCAGCCATAGCACGAAAGCATAGTTTAAATCTGGCAGTTATGTCACGTCACTGTACGTTCGCTCCTTAGTGGTCAGCCCAGCTGCTGCAAAGCGTGCCAAAATCGAAATTGCTGATTAGATGTAGAGGAATTTATCTAGTGTTAAATGAGTGTTGCGTTATCTCTCTCACGAGAATGCAGCGTAAAGTGAGTGACGTCAGTGAGTGTGTTGTCAAGCAAGGAGAGCGAGCGGTAGCAGTGTCTGTGAGGGAAAAAATAGATCACGGCTGGTCTTGGACCCCGAAACAGGAAAAGTTTAACATCTTATATCAAATTTTTATAACCTATTTAGTCAGAAACAACGTCATTCATTTGATGAATGCTCAAGTCTGATTTTATATTCTCGAGTCCGAGTCCAAGTATAGTCATCAGTCCAAGTCGAGTCACGAGTCCAGAGCATGGAGTCTCGAGTCGGACTCGAGTCCAGAGAATAAGGACTCGAGTCCGACTCGAGTCCGAGTCCAGGACTCGAGTACTCCATCACTGATACACACAATAATTATAGGATAGGATTTTTGTAGTATATTTACATGTACACTTCAATAATTGTGTGTATAATATATTGTATTGAAATTATTCTCTAGTAAGTTTTCTGGCAAGGCTTGCTTAGGACAGTGACAGTCAGAGTGATTCCGCTCGATCTACCAAATATCTTTCGAAACCAGAATGGAAAAGTTACCTCATACTTGCACATTGTGCATGGCTGTTCTCCAGGCGGATGATGGGCATGACTGCTGCCCTTCCTGTTTAGGCCTAGAACACCTTAAACAGGGCCTCACAGAAGATGCCTGCATGAACTGTAGCGCCATGTCTTGGGAGAGGAGGACTTCGAGGATAACCATGGTGGAAGGGCTTTTGGGGGAGTCGCTACCTCCACCCCCACCACGTAAAACAACAAGTAAGCGTAAAAATACTGAATCAACCAGTGCTTCCGCTGGTAAAAGACCCAAGGAAGACCCTTTAGGGAAGAAGGTGGATGTGCTGACGGCTGAGTTTGCTCAGATTAAGGCTTTGCTTATGAAGTTGCAACCGGGTGAGAGACTAGTATCCTCAGTCGAAGCCCCTGCTATGGAGTCACCCATTGGGGAGGAGGATATCCTTTCAATGGCCGCTTCTCAAAGCCAATTCTACGATGATGATGATGATGTTGATGGCGAGGTGCAGGTTTTATCTGATCATCAATCCCAATTCTCCCATGATGGCTCCCAGGAAGCTGGTCATGGATCTGCAGAAGGTCCACAGTCAGAGCAAGAGCTAGTGAAGCAGGCTCTTCAGGCTGCATTGGCTCGCTTGGGTCTTGACACAGCCCCTGCTGTGGCAACCTCTTCTAGTGCTTTTTTCAGAGGTTCAGCGCAACACTCTCCTCTTACAATTCCACCATCAAAGGATTATATCGAGGAGTTGCAAAGATGCTGGGCTAACCCTAGGTCGCTTACGCATCCCACTAGTGCAAGCAGGGCATTGGCTGCGATGCAGGATGCAGACACTTATGGCTTGGGTCAGATGTCTAAGGTTGATCCACTTATTGCCTCTTTTGTTCTTTCCCCAGAGTAGGTATTGAGGCCTAATGTTCGTTGCCCCCGGCCTCAATGTAGGATTACAGATGACCATCTTATCCAGGCATATAACACAGCAGCACGTATGGGTCACATTGGCAATTCTCTCTCCCATCTCATGTTGGCCCTGTCTCAATCCCTTCAATCATCAGGGAGTGATCCTTTTAACCAAAACTTAAGTGATGCCTCCCTTCAGGCAATAGCATTCATGACAAGAGAGCTGGGAAGGCTGATGTCAACGCTCACACAAGCACGCCGCCAAGTCTGGCTTGCACAATCACCTCTGTCTGAGCCATGTAGAAGAACACTAAGGGACCTTCCAGTAGTTCCAGGGCAACTCTTTGGGCCAGCTGCACAGGAGACACTGGAGCGTAGTGTCCAGGTGAATCAGACCAGGCATCAGTTTGCTGACCTGAGGAGAGTTCCACAGGCTCACCTAAATTACCGTCAGCCTTCTAGGGGGTATGATCTACCACGCTCTACGTTTTCAACACGCTCAGGTGATGTTCACAGGGGCCAGCCTCCGAGATCACCGCGAGTAGGAAATTCTGCTCAGCGGCCCCGGGCTCGGGGTCAGCAAGTATTTCAGGCCCCTAGGGGTAGAGCACCTGGCCAACGGCCCACCAGGGATGCTAGAGGCCATGGACGTAGGTCCTGAAGGTCCGCGGTCGGACGTCGGACAGTTTTCTTATCAGCAGCTCAGTTACTGGGAAGCAACAACTTCCAACCCATGGGTTATAGCAACACTAACCCAAGGGTACAAGCTGCAGTTCCAACGGCGGCCGCCCGCCTGCAAAGGGGTCAGGATGACTGTAGTCTCAGACCCCAACAGTTCACTTGCCTTAAGACAAGAAGTAGCACAACTCCTGGAGAAAGGTGCCATCGAACCAGTAGATTGGTCAGAACGGCTAGGTGGGTTCTTCTCCATTTACTTCATCATTCCAAAGAAAGATGGCGGTGTAAGGCCCATACTCAACCTTCGCGGCCTCAACAAGTTCCTGAAGATCTTACCATTTCGTATAGTGCGCATAACCGATGTTCTTCAGGCGGTCAAGCAGCAGCACTGGTTTACTACGGTAGACCTAAAGGATGCTTACTTCGATGTTGCAATTGCTCCTCAACACAGGCCGTTCCTCCGATTTGCATTCCAGGACCAGGTCTATCAATTCCGTGTCCTCCCATTCGGCCTTTCTCTGTCGCCACGAGTCTTCACCAGATGCATGGCGGCCGCACTGGCTCCAATCCAAGCCAAAGGGCTACAGGTGCTTCCATACTTGGACGACTGGCTTCTTTGCTCCCACTCTCAGGAGCAGGCAGTGTTAGAAATCACACAGCTGCTCAAACATATTACTCGACTGGGCCTTTCTGTGAATTTCAGCAAGAGCCGATTAATTCCAAGTCAGTCTGTGAGGTTGCTAGGTCTCACGCTGGACTCACTGTCAATGAAAGCCGCTCCATCAGAACAACGAGTGGACAATATACTACTCCTCCTTCAATGGTTTTGGAGGCAGGCCAGACTTTCATTCAGGTGCTTCCTCAGGCTCACAGGTATGTTGGCGGCAGCAGCGGCAGTCATACCATTGGGCCTCCTTTCACTACGCCCCTTTCAAATATGGGTGAACAGTCTCCACTTGAACCCCAGTTGGCACAGGAACAGGTTGATCAAGGTGACACAGCGATGCCTTCTGGCCCTGAAGTCTTGGAGGAGCAGATTGTATCTGACCAAGGGGGTTGTTCTGGGCATGATTCCCTCTCGGAGGGAGATAGTCCAGACCGATGCGTCCCTTACTGGCTGGGGGGCAGTCTGGCAACACAGAGCAGTCACAGGACAGTGGGGTCCTCGGGAAAAGGCGAGAATATAAATACCCTGGAACTTCGTGCAGTTCTGCGAGCTCTGAAGCACCTCGCTCCATTTTTGAAGGGCAGGCATATTCTCGTCAGGTCGGACAACAAATCAGTGGTTTATCACATCAACCATCAAGGGGGCACAAGGTCCAGCCAATCCCTTCAAGTATCACAGGAACTGCTTACTTGGGCCTTCCCTCGCTTTGCAAGCATCAGAGCAATGCATTTCCCAGGGGTATCAAACGTGGTTCCAGATTTCTTGTCGCGCCGCAGAATTCCATCGACGGAGTGAAGGCTCAACCCGGAAGTGGTAGAGATGATATGGCAGCGGTTTGGCAGGCCAGAAGTGAACCTATTTGCCTCGGCGACAACGACCCACTGCCGTCTCTGGTTCTCTCTAGCAGAGGAATCCAGTCCGCTGGGGCAAGATGCTCTAGCCCACCGCAGGACAACTTTACACCACATTTACGTAACAAGTTTTACACAACAGAGTAGCTTTACACTATATTTACACCGCAGGACAACTTTACACCACATTTACGTAACAGGTTTTACACAGCAGACTAGCTTTACACTACATTTACTCAAAATAACAGCTTTACACAATGGTAACACCACCTTTACACAACATATACGTTTTACAAAACAGCGGTTTTGCAACACCTTTTCACAGGTCATCTTTACACCACCTTTACGTAACAGAAAGGTTTTACACAACAGAATAGCTTTACACTACATTTACATGACAGAACAGTAAAAACAGAGCAGGTTTTTAACACCTTTACACATTAGAGCAGTTTTACACAACTGAGTATCTTTCACAATATAGCTGATTTGAAAGATACACAACTGTTGACTTCTTATGGCGTTGGCTCGTCATCCTCTTGTTTCAGTTTAATCCTCTTGTGACTGTCCACTTTCCCTAATCTTGTTTAATGATTCACACTGATGTTTATGAGCTTTGAAGTTCTCCCAGTCATTACCCATGGCAACAACACTGACTTGTAGATCTCTTTTCCAGGGTTATGAGTAGTATAGATGTAGGTGTAGTGAATAAAGGTGCATCAATACACAACTTCACAATAATTACCCATCAGTCATTGCACATCACCTCAGCACTGCAAGAAGTCTGACTAAAACAAGAAGCAGTGAAGGCATTTTGTATTGAGTTTAATTTGTTTCAGGTGTGGTTTGATATTCCTGTCAAAATCTAAAACTAGAAATCTAGCATTACTTAGAAATACTCAAAGAGACTTTGATTTATAACACCTCTATTAATGTGTTATTACAACCCTAACAACACAAGATTCAATTAGTGTGTCTGTCATTAGCAAGCTTCACAGATGTGCAGATGTGAATAGGACTTTATTGGGGTGAATCTGGCGTGTGCAGCAGAGCAGGATTACTGATGCTCCACCGGACAGCGAGGATCAGAGACGATGGCCAGGGTGGGCGTCTCTTTAGGTAAGATTACCACCCATGACTGCATGATAATCAGCTTTGCCTGCGCACTGTTAACAGGGGAGAAGCAATGGGGGAAAGCCCTCGTTTCCCCGGCAGGGGCCTTAATTAAAGCTTAAGATAATGGGACTGAAACACCACACACACCCCCACACACACACACTCCCCACCTCAGTCAAAAGTGAGACAGCGGTTATGTTAAAAATAGGGCTGTGAAACAATTAATCCCATCGAAAATAAAAGTTTGTTTACATAATATGTGTGTACTGTGTATAATTATTTTGTATATATATATATATATTAATATACACACAGGCATGTATATATTTAAGAATTGTTTTTTATATATAAAATATTTATATTTAATATAAATTATATATATATATATATATATATATACAAAATAATTATACACAGTACACACATACTATGTAAACAAACTTTTATTTTGGGTGCGATTAATCGTTATACAGCCCTAGTTAAAAATGAAATACAAAGTGCACGTCTTACTGTACTTGATACTAAACAAAACCTCAAAATACTCAAAACTATTAGTTTTTTTTACAGTATAGTGTGTAATGTAGTGGTCACATGACCTCATTTTGTTGTTTAATGTAGTGAGCAATGACAGTTATCACAATATTAACATTTATTCAGCATTTTTGATTCGATTGCAACAGAATTATGAGTCAAGAAATGTATTTTTAAGTGTACTTTTTATGCCCTTTCTATCTCAATGGCAGCAACAGGACAGCTTAAAATACAAAGAAGGATGTAAGACATTATAAATTCTGAAACCTTGCACAAAAAGCATTATACTAAAATTAGCATAAGTATGCAAGCATGCCCATTCTCCGAAGATCTTTATAACATCTAAACACATTTCAGAAAATTCTGTCATCATTTGCTCACCATCATGTCTTTCCAAAAGTGTTTGACTTCTTTCTTTTCTGAAACAAAGGTATTTTGAGATACCCACCCACACAGTTTGTTTGTTTTTCCGTTCATACAATGTAAGTCAATAATCAACTAAATGGTTTGATTGCCAACTTCAAAATATCTTCTTTTGCGAAAGGCATACAGGTTTGGAACGACATGAGGCAGAATTTTTATTTTGGGATAAACTATCCCTTTAAGATTGAAAATAACAGCATTGTCAGTTTGCATAATACCATAGTGCGTCTCAAAAATGTACATGTAAATGAAAGGTCAGGTCGAATGCGTTGATTTGTGAGATTCTCAATTCCTCTCAATGTGATTTGCTGCAGTGGAGACATAACTTCCATATTTCAATACTTTTTTTTTTTTACTCATTCACAAATGGGTCACAAAAATTCTTACATTGGCATATTAAATAAGAGACATTACTGGCCTTAATTTTAGCCTGTTTAGCAGGCAATGCCCAGAGCAACGACCACAATCTGCAGCTGTGCGAGTATGAGTGTACCGTTTAGCTTTAACTGACCGCGTTCACTACAACGACAATGAACAAAAACACATTACAACACAATAATGATTTATAAGAGGTCCAAAAATTATTCAATGAACATATGATTAGCATTGCACATACTATGGAACTATAAAATATTAGGCATATGCAGTATATTTATTGTAATGTGTCTTTCCAGGGGGGATGGGCTCCCCCAGCTGAGTCTGGTTCCTGTCAAGGGGTTTTTCCCCCACAATCCTCACATCTTATGGATTTTCCCGCTGGCCACAGTCACCTTTGGCCGACTGGAGGCACTAGAGGATGATTTTCTGAAAAGGTGATTTGCAACAGTGCACATAGAAAAAACAAAAGAAAATTGACTTGAGTTTTTCAAAAACACCACTGAGGCAAGAGGTTGTTGGAATATAACGGCTTTATTTTCTTCTTGCAACATGAATAGCACACTATAATAATTTGTTGGAGGACTGAGAAACAACTGTGCGGTCACACTATCTCCCTGAACGCTCTCTTCTCCGAGTACTTCACCTTGTACTTCCTCTTAAACCTGAAAAGAGAAAAGGAAAGATTAAAAAGACAGAAAAAAAAAAGAGAAAGCATTGTAGCTTCAGCTTGCCACAAAGCCTCCAGTTCCACACTAACACTCCTAATCGTAACGTCCATTTTATACAAATAAAGCAGTAAAACATCGAACTTACTTGGCTCTTTCTCTGGGCTCAATAAGGTTTCTCTTCTGTAAGCTCATAAATCGATCTTTTAGGATGCTGCCCTCTGGCTGCATGACAAGAAACATGTTATTTCAAACAACATGCAACTGGATGTCAGAGTAAGAGATGCACGCAGACACAGTTAAACACACACCTTCAGACTGCGAAGAGACCCGGCGAGCTCATGGCTCAGCTGCACATCGAGATCAGGTGCCTGAAACCTGTCAAAGGAACAATCAAAAAACAAGGTTACATCATCAACCTTTGTGTTTTTGTTAAATTGTGTGCATGACACTTTTGATGAACATGGTCCAAAACCGGGCTTGACGATCTTAAACGGCCCTGATGCCAATATATGCGCTTTTTCAACAAAATATCAGTAACATGTCAGAAAATCTCACCTGGAGAGGCGTAATGTTCAGATAATCTCATTGATTTTTTTAATCAATCTATGTGTGAAAACTTTTGTTGAACATAATGTGAAAAAAAACCTTTATATATATATATATATATATATATATATATATATATATATATATATATATATATAAAACACTCCTAATGCTAACACATGTGACCCACTGTCCTGCAAATTTGAGGTCCAACCCTCATCAAACACACCTAAACCAGCCAAACAAACACTTCCCTGTGGTGAAAATCCAGCTTTTACTGTTGTTTATATGTCTATGTGGTGTTTTTAATATGCTTTAAGACAAACCATGTGCAAATTCATAAGTCGACAGCATTGCTGAGTATTTTCTCCTTAAAACTGCAGTGAACCAAAGACAGTCTCAAAAACACGGTTTGAAATCGCTGGTGTTTCTGACGTCACAAACTACCTTGTAACCAATCAGATCAACGTGTGATCGTCAACCAGTGGATCTCTGAGCTGAGTGAGTGAGTGGAGGCGGGGCTCATTTGCATATCCATAGAACCGCATATACTAAATGAGGCAAGGGTGTAGAGTAGAGGGCTGCATTGGGATTGAGTCCCGTGGGACCCAACGCAAATCTCACAGGAGCGGGCGGTTTGAACTTTGCTGCGGGCGGGAATGGGCGGCAAAAAAAACAACAAAAAAACGCGGTAGCCTAAGCGTTTAAGATTTCCCCAAAAGCCTAGCCAGGCTACTATTCATCTTCCTGATCAGTGCGTCAGAGTACATGCAGGCCAGGGAAACGAAACAAACAACCCCATGAATCTCTTTAATAACAGCAATACAAATACGTGTTTTTTCCTGCGGGAAGGGAGAAGACACAAAATCAATGCATCTCTATTATTGTGCGGGAATAAATTCTCAGAGTTTTGCGGGTGCGGACAGGACTGGACATACATATTGCGTGAGCTGGCGGGAGTGTAACACATACGTTGCGGGAGCGGGAGGTAATGGTCAGAAATTCGGCGGGCGCGGGCGGGATGAAGAAAACAGTCCCGCGCAGGGCTCTAGTGTAGAGTTACATTCAAGATTTTATAAGGCATGAATACATTTTTTTCAAGGAAAAAAAAACGTTTAAATTATGTAATTTTGGTGATCAAAGATGAGTTTTAAGGGATAAAATGATTGCCTACAGGGGGACTCTAAGGACCGCTTGAAAATTCAAGAGCTGAGGCAGGTTGGATATAAACTTTGCAGGGCAGTGGGTCTCCAGGAGAAGGGTTGAAGAACTTTGTTGAAACTCATAGATTCTCAAATGAACTGAATTGGTCTAATAATATTATAACATAGCTGTGTGTAATAGCGTTGCCTAAACCAAGACCACTCATGAAGGCCTATGTAATTAGGCACCAAACTCAAACTGGTGTGTGAAGTTATTAACAAGCATTTCCTATTTCAAGATATTGCCACTGATTTTTGAATCACTCTTTTCCCATCATGATGTCATGTCAGACACAGCTGGAGAACAAAAGCCAGAAAGTGAACGCACTTGAGTCTGCCGAGTCTGCGAGGCATGCTCTTCTGCGCCTCCTGATTGGCCCTCCGCTGAGCCTGCCTCTGTTTGGTCCTCTGCTCCTGCGTCTTCAGGTTGGCACGGATGGATCGCAGTTGGAACAATTGCTGCTGCCTGTCAATCATCTGACGCTCGGCCTTCCTCCGCAACTCCTGTTTGATAAATTAAAGGTTTGAATGTGAATCAAGAGATTCATCCCCAACTTGGACAAGAGGCAAATCCATTCTGCTTCCTTACCTTGATCCTTTGGGCCTTCTCTTTCCTCCTCTGTTTCTCAGTTTTCTTCTCCTGCGTTGCGGTCGGCCCGATGACTGTGTCTTCGCTGCCCCCTTCTGGCTCTTCCGGTTCAGCATCCCCTTCTTCGATCAATCCCTCCACCTGCTCTTTAAAGCTGCTCTCCTGCAGAAACACAAACACATCTATATTTAGAACAGCATGTGGACACATTCCCATCTGAACCTGGAGTGGAAACAGAGCGCCAGCTTACCTAAGATCCGCACAGCAGCGCTGTATAATGCTTACCATTTAAAAATATATATATATAAAAAAATAATTCAAAATATCCAAAAAACCCTAAACACAGTGTCTTCTTTACATATGTTACATGCATGTAATTAAAGCTGCAGTCCATAGCTTTTTTAAGTTAAAAATAATCCAAAACAATTATATAAAAAAAAACTTATTCTGCCAGTGGTCAAAACTCTCTGCTTGCCATAGCCAGATTCAAAACGGTTAGCTTGTAATAATGATTTTAATTCCAGTGGTACTTCACTGGAACTTCAACTTTTCTTAATTCACACAGTTATGGAGTTTCCTTTGTTGTGCCTTTCTCGTTTTGCTATTATGGAGAATATGAATTCTGGACAGGTACTACACAGGTAACCATAAAACACATTAAATTTAACATTAGTCACCCAATGCTGATGTTGTTAACATGAACAATTTGAGAACAAAGTAGGCTATAATTTGCACGGTTGCTGTAAATCGCGTTGATTAAATCTAACGAAGCTTATCGTGTCGAATGCTTTTTCCCCCTTAGTTGGTCAGAACAAAAATGGATGTTACTTACTTGTTCAGAAGACATTTTCTTATGAAAATTCTTATGTTGGTCAAACTTTCAAAAAGTGAATCTGTGATTCTGTATGCCAGTATCCACACAGCGCGGTGACTAACAGCAGCACTCGCCTCAAAGCACTGTGTTCATCCGCGCTGTTTCATGCCGATTTACAACCCACGTAAAGATGCTAATTCCGCGAATCACTGCAGTTACAGATTTCGAACAGAGAGATGGCGACAAAGAGGAAAAGCTACGGACTGCAGCTTTAAGCACAATTTATAGTAATTACTACAACTAACCCTGAACAACATCCTAATCCTACCCCTATAGTAAGAGCATGTAGTTACTTATTATTACTCAATATTTAAATGTATAATTACACCAACACAGACATCTTAACCTGTTAAGCTTCAAGCCCACTATTGAAAAATCCCCAGAAATGACATACCCAAACTAAAACAGATACAGTTCATGAACCCTTTGCACTAAAAGCACAAGTATGATCTCATTTAAAAGCTGACACTTGGTTGTTTATTGTAAATGTAGAATTAATTATTGTCATAATGAAAAAAACAATTTTAAATAGCTTCAAAGTTTTGTAAAGTTATTAGAAATTTATTTTTATGAAACATCTTCATGAAAATAAAATTGAAGTTGGCCCTGGAGCAATCTAGAAATGCACTGCAGCTAAAGCCACATGTCTGACCATTTTATATTTAAAATCTGAAAATGATAAGTATAAAGCTCTGTATTTAGTTAAATGTTTTTCAAGATCATGTCAAATTACTTTATTTTGATTAGACTCTATTAGCAAACTGATGTTTAGTCATCTTCTGAGTCATCTATTCAGTCTATTGTCTCTATTGTTTTGTGGTGCCCCATTCAGTCTCAGTCTCCCCTGCACACATTTACACCTCTCCAGACTGGTTATTATGGCTCTAAATATGCATTTCTTTTGTCTGCATTATAGCTACTAACGACTGGCTATTCACAAGCTATTCATAGGGTTTCAAACCCTAATTTCTTTTATCAAAGTTCTCACTAAATATTTGAAACTGGTATCAAATGCACTGAAACATTTCAGTAAGCATTCCTATTTAGAAAAAAATCATAAAACAATAACTGCTCGTGGCAGGTGCGCCTGGGCTCGCTAGCATGTTAGCTTAGCACACCATCAATACACGACCATTTATGAGATTAAAACTATGTTTGCGCTCCAAACTCACTATATAACGCAAGTCTAGTGTTTTAAATAATCTTCTGTGATCTAACTTGGCTTCAGATAAAAAAAAAAATCAGACAGAAAATGTATTATTTAGTGTTCTGAACAATGATGAAATCTATATCGATTAGCATTACATTATAAATATAATCTATTATTATGAAATACCTGGCATGGCTTGAAGAACACAGGTAACTCAAATATCATTGCAATCATGTTTATTGTCTTCAAAACATCTTTATCTGCATGTTACAGCGATCTCTGTACTTTCTGTATCACTCAGTGACGTCCTGGAATGTCACATGACTATGGGTCTTCTTCATGATCCATATATGGAATTTTATTGGACATAATAGCGCCCCCATGCTATTGGTATGAATGGAAAACACAGCACATCTCAGGAAGAAGCGATCATTATGATTACATCGACGCATTTGGGTATAAATTCAATAAATATTATTCCTGTCTATAGAAATATGATGTGAATCTATGAGAATATATCAATATTTCTCCACATCTGCACATTGTTGAGCTAAAAGCCCTCAGGGACGTTGTTTTGTGAATCGCTATCATGAGGACAGCACGGAGTGTTTTTTATGAATGGACCAGCTGACGCTCATAATTCATATTAAAGGTATCGACTCGTTTTTTTCATTTCATAACTCCTGACACAAATTAAGACATAACTGTCACTATAAGTTTCTCAGAATACAATAGTGGTCAAATACTGAATCTTGAGTCTTATATCTTTTTAATGATGTATAGTTTGTCAAGGTATAACATTAAATCTGATAGTATATTTGAACTAAATAAATAAAAAAACGCTTCAGTGCGCCGACGCTCTGGAGAAGGTTAAGAGGTTAAAATAAACTGACCAATATTTTAATGCAAAAATCAATCATACATATTGTGCCTTTAAGGTGGGGTAGAATTAAATGCAGGGATGCAAACACATGTATGATCAAAAAAGAGAGGTGTAATCGAAGCCCTCGCCCGCCCCGCGGCAAATATCCAGATACCAGAACTTGCATTGCCACCAACCCCTGCCATCCCCAGCCCACCCCTATAGGCACAGGGTAAAATGAAAATTGACTAGAAAAAAGGTTTTATAAAAAGATAAACCTCACATATTTCAGCATTTAAATCATTTTTATAAAAAGAACAAGTCAAAAAAGATAAATTACTGACATTTACAAAGCACATTAGCTTATCTTTTATTATTAATAGTAAAATTAGGTCCGATTTTCCCGTGGCGTCTGTCGTTGCTAAGCAACCATGCACTGCGCTCTCCACAACAACGACAAAGAAGATTTAGTAGTTAATGGATTTCCACCACCGAAAAACGCTTGCCGTAGCTCTGCTACAAGATTTATTTACGGAGAAGAGAAAAACACCCGTAGTGTTTGGTGCACCCCCATCCTTCATGTTGACTGAGCTTTCAGCGTTGTTACGGAAAGGGTGAAGCTGATTGGTTGGTTCATGTCACATGACCTGCGGTGCGCTTGCGGCATTCTGAAAAGCTGAGGTGTTTTCATCCCGCTCCGCCTGGATAAAAAGAGCACGTCGCTTCAATGATGAGCACGCCTACATTTGAAATAACGAACTTGAGCGCGCATAACACACGACATGTGAACGGCCCCTTGACGAGCTACCTCCAATCAGGCCATGAGCGACGGGTAGCTCGCGATCGATGTGTTGGAGACCCCAGTAAAAGATACGCAGCAAGAAGAAACACTAGTGGTTCAAGCTTGCGCTCCTACTGCTGTTTTGGCGCACTGTGTTCTGATTTGCTTATTTCCTATTTACTTGTTTGGTGGAGGCAATTTAGAATTACTGAAAAAACTCTTCGGATCTGCACAATTCACAGAAGTCACCCAAACTGACATGAAAAAAGCAGGAGGCGCCGAAAAGCGCGCTGTTAGCATCCCTGTAAATGAACGGCAAAACGTCTGACTGCCACCTCACGTACCCCAGTCTGGGAACCCCTGAGTTATGTTGTTAGCATAAGGTTGTACCTCATTGGCGATGTCCTCTTTCACAGCCAGCTGACGTGCCAACCTTTCCTCTGCTTTCAGCTTCTTGACCTCCACCTCATGGGCTTCACGAAGCAGGTCCTAGAAAAACACACACGCAACGTAAAACTCTTTGCAGATGAATGTTTTCGGATGTAAAGAGCTGTGTGTAGAAGAAACAGGCGGCATTATACCTGGTGAGAAAAGAAGTCTGGGTTGTATGAGCCTCCAGGACCGACGACCTCAATTGCAGGAAGAACTGAAGGTTTCTCATTCAGCCTGTCTGGTCTCTTAAAGAGGAACATGAACAAATTCAGCACATGAACACAACAGCTAAACCTTACACATGTGGATGTTTCGATTGATGATACCCGAGAGAACAGAGTGGCTGATGGTGGATATAAAGCCAATATTTATGACAATCACACCATTTAATTTAAAGATAGAAAATAACATGCATAATAAATGCTGAAATTATATTTTACATCATATTTAATACTTCAATGAGTAAAATAAGAAAAATAAATTTCTTTAACCGATAACAGAATCAAAAAGCTGCTAATCTATAGACCACTTAGGAGTAGATGTCACAGTTATGTCAGAAAAATAGTGGTAACAAATGGAGGAAAATGGACGAGACCTACAGAATAATGGGGGAAAACATGTCTTGTGCCTCTGATATGTTCTGTGAAAAATGAAGACCATCTTTGTTTGCATTCTGAATGATTCTGACATACAAAGACTTTAGATGTATAAAGACTCGCACTCACATTACTTATGAATGGGAGGAAGTGCTACGCACAATATGTGGGAACAAGTCCCGTCTTCTAAATAAGAGCCAGTCACTGATTGATAAAGTCTTCGCGTCACTGCAGCTTCCGCTAGTTAATGTTATTTAATTGCCAGTTCAGTGGGCAGTTTTTGAAATTCCTCCATTCAAGTAGACAGAATTGGGTCTTGGATGTCGAAGTAGCAAATATGACCGCTGAGTGAACACTTTCCTTGAAAGGGACTTTGCTAACGTTGAAGATGCACTTTGTAACCAGAAACGTCTGCGTTTAGCTTTAAAGACAGGACTGATGAAACCTGTGACGAATTACCCTATAATAGATCTACATAATATTCACATATGCAGTTCATAGAGGGCATGATATAATATTTAAACCTATAACATTTACATAGAATTGTGAGAAAAAAAGGGATTAAATGTTATCGGACTGTTTTTTCTTCCCAATTGCAAGTTCATATCTCCAAATTTGGAGTTTATAACGCACAATTTTGAGAGTTTATATACTGCAATTCTGACTTTTCTTTCTCTGAATTGAGATATAAACTCGCAATTCTGAGGGGGAAAAAAAGGGAAGATCTAAGAAGATTGGATATAAACTCACAAATACCTTTTTTATTTATTTATTTTTTACATGGCTTCCATAGACTGCTATTGTCATCACTGTTTACAAACACCAAAATGGTCTATGGTATTTTTATTTTATATAGGAGCTCCTTGTGCGTCTGAAGTTCTCAGCGTTGTCAAAATAAAAGTTCCACTTTTACAACATTTATCGGTCAAACTGAAAAACCAATAATTATATCTTATATAATTTTGGCCGACCACTAGCTACATCCATTGTCCAAATGACTGTGAATACTTCTCTAAAGATAATGATCAAAACAAAAGAACACACTGCTCAGTCTCACCTTGACAAGCTTTTGTTTAGTTTGTTCAAGGTAGAAGGGATCGGCCGTCTCCGGCGCTGTTGGACAAAGACATTGATCAACATTACGCCACTTGTTTACATTACTGACATATCAGAGAGTGTGAAGATACTCACGGCCTGCACTCCACAGGTCATAAAACGCTCTCGCTGGGTTGTTATTGGCCACTGGAGTTTGTTTAACGGGCAGCCCAGAGGCAGCGGCAGCTCTTCGGAGTTGAAGAAGCTTTTCTCTTCGAGGCAACACTCCCATGGCCGCCAACCTCGCCGCTTTCTCTGCCATGCGCCGCTGCTTTTTACCATTGGGCTGCTGGAACGCCAAGACACTGAAAGAACATCAGGAGAATCAGGCTCATGTAAAATTGGGGATAAATGGTTTGGAGACGATCAGATTAACCTTATATTATAGATGGATTTTATGATGCATTTTCCTTAATACTTAATCATGAAGCAGAGATTTGCTATATAGTGGGATTGTTTATATCGTCACAAAACCCAAAATATATATTAAAATCACACAGCTCTATAAAGCTGGATATATAAATATGTCCAAGTTTCTCCACACACACTCACATAATCTGATATATATACTACATAGAAAATCTCAACTGCATGGTTGTTTAAATGAATTGCAAAAATCTAAACTATATTATCATCCATCTCGAAGATATTGCAAGACAGTTTAATAACTGAATCCTGACAATATGCCCTCAGATCCTGGACGGCTGTTCACACAACAGCCCTCCAAGCTCCACTGTGTTATCTTCACATTCCCAAAGAAATACTGGGAGCGCAAGGATGAGATCATCAGCGGGCAGAAGAGGATGCAGATCACGGGTCATTTTGAAAGTTCATTTTACAGTCGTACTGTACTCACTTTTTGGGGGCAGGTACGCGGGAATCCGGCTGAAGAATGAGATCTATCCGCAGAGGTTTGGAGCGTTTACCTTTCCTAACTGTCGTCTCTAATAACAAGAAGAACAGTTATGGATTGGGCAGGGAGCAAAAACAATGACATAGTAGGCTATATAAAGAGAGGATCTTTTTAAACTTACGTGGTTGAGTTTCTTTGTCTTTTTCACCAATGTCCACAAAGAAGAGACTGGCATCGGGTTTTTCAGCTATCAACCCCCTATGAATGAAGAAAGGAAATGAATATTAACAAATCAGTGTTTGTTCAGAATCTCCTGTATCCGGTTAACTGAAAGGTTGTGTTAGAAGACAATATATATTTTATCATCACTTTTTTTTCTCTCTCATCTTTTTAACATACAAAATGATGAAGACAAACAATCAGCCATGCAACAGTAAGTGGAAATCAAAACAACAGCATCAAAATAAATAAAAATTATTAATAAGTTAGACTGGTTAATTACACAGAAGGGTGACTTTAAGTGACGAAAAAAAATACACAAAACAAATCAACTAGACATAATATGCAGCAAAATATACACAGGATAGTGCATGCATTTTAAATTACGCGAATATATAAAAATGCGAATGCAAACATCCAAGGACATGAGCATTTATCAATAATACAACATAAACTTAATGACTCAATGGTTAACTTACGCATTACATAAAAACAGCCACGTGACACTTTTCAACTCTTCATAACGCACTCAGTCACACATAACCTACAATAATGTTTTATATTCTACTGGAATAAAGCAGGCTATAGATATAAATATAGAAGTCTAATCACTTCCATCAATGTTAAACTTTAATGATGATAATAACCCATATTTACCCATGACTTACCCAGCTGCTTTCTCCTGAAGCCGCACGTCGTCCAGAAACTCCTCCACATCCTGGATATCACTGTATTTGTTCCAGTTCTTTTTCTTATTTTTGTTCACGCGTTTTCGCCGTTTAATATCCGAAGTGTTTCCATCCAGACCCGAGTTAAAAGACAGAAACCCGGGTTGAGACGCCGCCATGCGCTTGTGCTTCCTGGCGGCCGCCATGATGGTTAGAAGAAGAAGGAGGAGGAGGGGGAATGAGGGAGGAGCCTATACGTTTGTGGACTCGACTCGTGAATATTTAATTAGGTCACGTGAGCTCAACAAAGAGGGGCGGGAAATCCAAAATGTGGCCCCTATCCCTTGGGTGGTAATATCTCAGATATAAATGTTGATTTGCCTTAAAATTTCCTATAAAATGATTTAAAAATCCTTACTGTTTAATTTCAAATGTCTGTGTTTGGTCTATTCTAATGTAGCCATCGCCAAAGACTTTATATACAGAATGGGAGAAAGTGCATTGCGAAATATGGTGGAATAACCCTTGCGGGACGAAAATATATTTCCATATATTTATGATCAATATATTAGATATGGTGAAAATATAATGACCAATACATGAAATAATATATTACAATATATTGAATAATGAATTGCCACTTTTCATATTTTGAAAAATATATTTACAATATAGGCCTATTTACACGAAAATGTAGCCTAATTAGTTGAGTTTACTTAGAACAAATGTGGGAAACATTTGACTCTAAGTTGTAAGTTGTTAATACAAAGACAGACACAAAAAATGTCAGGACAGTGATAAACTGCATTTATTTCTCTTTATTAAACTGCAAATACTTTGTGCATGTTGAAAACTTACCTGAAAAAGAATAAATACAGTTATGCCTTATAAATAAAACAAAACGCAACATATTCTCAAAGTTTTTTGATCTTCTTCTGGACTGAAGCACATGCTCTGCTCTTCATCACAATGGTGACCCACAAAACTCAGACAACAGAAACCCTTTAAATCCCAACAACAGAACATTAAACACTAACAAATCTCAGCAGAGGAGGGTTAAACAGCATTACCAGCTTCACTTATTACTAAACAGTTTGACTTTATTTCTGTCAAACATCTACAAAAGTTCTTATTGAGAATCAACAGAGGTTTAGATGTTGATGATTTATTGAAAATAATAAAGTTTGTAGTTTCCATTATGGTGATCGGTGTTTGCTTTAGTTAGGCTCTCGACTCTTCAACATTAGTTGTTGTCAGCCTGTTCGGCTGCTGTGACTGTGTGTTTTTTAAGACAAAATGCCAAGAGAAAGTATGTGTGATTTGTTGGGTGTTTGTTGATGATGTTATAACCATCATAAATCTAAGTCACAGATCTCATCCCAAAGTTTATCACTGATTGAAAGTGTTAGATTATTATAGGAACTATAGGGATTGTTCACCCAAAAATCAAATCACCTCAAGCCATCCTAGGTGTATATGACATTCTTCTTTCAGACGAATACAATCGGAGTTATATTAATAAATGCCCTGGCTGTATAATGGCAGTGAATGTACAAGTCCATCCATGATAAAAGTGCTCCACACGTTTACAGGGGTTAATGAAGGCCTTCTGAAGTGATGCGATGTGTTAATGTAAGAAAAATATCCATATTTAAAACTTTATCAACTAAAATAACAAGCTTCTGACAGACGACCGTACACATCGATTTACGGTGGAAGAGTGACCCTTGACCCGACGCACAACGTAATGACGAACGGATAAAGCAAAACAAAACACCAGTCACGAATTAGAAGATTAAAACGAGAACTTTAAAGAGAGATGTGGGAGGAGCTTGGCTTGTTGCCCAGCCCTGTATACTCCTCGATCCTAAGTCATACAAGCATCACGAGTTACTCTTGCGTAGGCCGTCTGCCGGAAGCTAGTTATTTTAGTCGATAAAGTCTTAAATATGGATATTTTTCTTGAAGCGATGCGCTTCACTTCAGAAGGCCTTTATCTCCGTGTGGAGGACTTTTGTGGATTTATGCATTCACTGCCATTATAAAGCTTGGAAGAGCCCGGGCATATTTTAATATAACGCCGATTGTATTCGTCTGAAAGAAGAATGTCCTACACCAAGGATGAGTTGAGGAGGGTGTGAAAATCACGGGCTAATTTTTGGGTGAATTAACCCATTAAGTGCATTTAAATTATCGAATTACAAACACTGATTCAACACTAGTGTAGTACTTTTTAAAACTGTAACACAGACATCAAGAATCAGCGTATGAATCTCAAAAACGGTGACATGCTTACTGCTGCAATGCATGCTGGGAATATATAATGATGTGATCATTGATGTGAGGTCCAGTTACCAGCGTGACACTAAAACGAGTAGTAATGACTACTTTTTACTTAAGTCAGACTCAGAGCCCATACTTCTTTACATTATAAACTTGAGTCTTTTCAAACATGAGTATCTGTACTTACGTGAGTGAAGGAATAATGTTCTGTGGTCATTTTTTCTTTCTTTTTTTTCTTTTTCTTTAAATGTTTGTATTATAGGCTACACAACAGAAAGAAGGATTAACTTTTACTTTAGTGTATAATAATGAAAGTCAATGTTTTACCCAAAATGGTGGTGCATATCATTCTACTATTAAAGAAAATAAAGGCTAGAAATAAATTCTGATTACGTTAGATGTAGTTCTGCCACATAAGTTTAGGTGCTCTGGTTTTAACCCTAACATAAACTGGAGAAGGTAAATATAGGTGGAATGTTTTTTCTTTTCTTCTTTCAACTCTTTGACTTTAAATAAATCAGATTTTTGTGAATATTTTGAATGAAACATTAAGAGGGGAAATTGATAATAAAAAAAAAGGTTCACAGTCAGGTTTTTTTCATACTTACCAAGGGTGCCAATATGTGTTTTTTTCTTCCTTTCACCGAAACACCAGCTGATTTAAACACACTGAGCAAAAATGATGAACAAAGTGGACATTAGTGAAGATCAAAGGTTCTTCTGTACTTCTGAAAATGTTGTCCCTTTTCCAAACTGAGATGTTTTGGCCCCAAGTCATTGGATTTGTATGATATTTTCCTCGCTGTCCTGGATGAAGAGATGAACTTGAGGTCTGCCACACATAGTTGTTCCTTATAGCTCGCCCAAGCATTGCTGTCCCTGGTGTTAAACTGAGTCAGGAGAATGCCGAGAGCCAGAGAGCCAGAATGATGAGGAGCGAGAGAAGAGCCTCTTCAAATCAATAAACTGTGTTTCCATCAGACTGGCTCCCATCAACCTTCAAAATATGTAGATCATCAGAAGAGTACATCACAGGAACTGAATCATCTTCTGGAAAGACACAAGCGTGCATCTGGCACATTTTAATTTAACAGTCCATATATTTACTGCATGGTTTTCTCCTTCTGAAATATTTATGTTCCATTGATTACCATTTTTTTCTTACAAATTATTCATCTCTAACACATGTTCACGCAACAACGTCTGCTCTTGCATCAACGCAACAAGCATGTGTTGTTCTTACAAAATATTATGTATGTGTTGTGATGCTCTTCCTGTGTTGGAGATTAATATTCTGTAAATAAAATGGTAAATTATGTTTTTTTTTGTGTGCAGGTTAAATCACTGTAGTCACATGGGTTACATTAATGAAGTCTTTAGCTAGGGCCTTGAACATGGTATTCTGTCAATGGAGGGACAAAGCCCTCAGATTTCATTAAACATATCTTTTGTGTTCGTGTTCTGAAGATGAATGAAAGTCGATAGGGCTTGGAACGACAAACATTTGTATTAATTCATCTTGATTCATCTGTCTCTCTTTCTCTGAGTGACATTCCTCTTCAGAAAAGTGATGGCTTTGGAGATTGTACATGAGAATCTGCAAGCCCTGATTCAACCGGTTCTTCAAGCATCATCTTCATGTCATGACTCATGTTCTTTTTGTGTAAATAAAATTGAGTGTGAAATTATGGATAATTGTGAGGGTTTTTTAGAGACGAGCAGTGGAACAAATTCTGAGATGAATAAAAGCGGGTTAAACGGCAGATTTGTCTTGTGTGATAGGACACATGATAGAATTGATGTGTAGACTTTGAGCTGAAGTGAAATGGTCATTCCGTAACTGAATAGTATATTGTGAACAACACTGAACATCTGCGATCACGGACACGTATCTGAAGTTATGACATTTATAACAGTATGAATGTAATCTGACACGAAACCCCTGCGATCAGCACGTGTATCTGAACGTATAACAGTATGAATAACTTTTCCCCACATAAAGTAATCTTGTGGAATAATGCTTATATTACAGGAAAACCGGAAATCTCTTTCCGGTTCTGATAGAATTGATGTGTAGACTTTGAGCTGAAGTGAAATGGTCATTCCGTAACTGAATAGTATATTGTGAACAACACTGAACATCTGCGATCACGGACACGTATCTGAAGTTATGACATTTATAACAGTATGAATGTAATCTGACACGAAACCCCTGCGATCAGCACGTGTATCTGAACGTATAACAGTATGAATAACTTTTCCCCACATAAAGTAATCTTGTGGAATAATGCTTATATTACAGGAAAACCGGAAATCTCTTTATTTACAGAGTTGGATGGATAAAGGAATTTACTTTCGCTCTGACCTTTTAGATCAGTCAGCTCAGTTTCTTTCTTATGGAAATTTGATGAATAAATGGTCATTTCCTATTAGAGAATATTATTCTGTAGTCCTTTTCTTCCCTTATATTGGCATGGAATATCTTAATTTCCGTATTTAAAAATTAAAGTTAAATTTAGTCCAATTTATATAAAAACTGTATTTTACTGTATTCATGGTATTTCACGAAGTTAAATGCACATTATTCATTTATTTGTTTCATACTGTCAATTTTATATTTACCATTTCTAAACTACAGCCAGACAGTAAATGACTCCATACTTTATTATAGGCCTTAGCATTTTCTATAAAGGATGAGCATTGTTTGTGTTTTGTTTTTAAATTATGTTTTTTTATTTTTATTGAAGACATATAAAAACAAACAATACAAATAAAATACATTTCAAATGCTAGGGGAGGTAACAGTATTATAGGAATACTTTAAAAAGTGTTTGTGAAATTCTAATAGCTTATTATTTCTTCAAGGGCAATATTGACTCATTAATGACTCATTAATATAATGCTTCACTTCATTTTTAAATGCAATAAAACATGTCCCCCCCCCC